GCAATTCTCCTGCCTCAGCCTCCCGAGTAGCTGGGACTACAGGCATGCACCATCATGCCCAGCTAATTTTTGTATTTTTAGTAGAGACAGGGTTTCACCTTGTTGACCAGGATGGTCTCGATCTCTTGACCTCGTGATCCACCCTCCTCGGCCTCCCAAAGTGCTGGGATTATTGGCATGAGCCACCGCGCCCGGCCTACATTTTTACTTTTTAATGTTTAGATATATAAATACTTATCATTGTATTACAGTTGTCTACAGTATTCAGTATAGTAACATGCTGTACAGATTTGTAGCTGAGGAGAAACAGGCTTTAACGTATAACCTAGGTGTGTAGTAGGCTCTGTCATCTAGATATGTGTAAGTATGCTCTATTATGTTTACACAGTGAAGAAATTGCCTAACAGTGCAGTTTTCAGAATGTACCCCTGTCGTTAAGTGATACATGACTGTATTGAATGTTATCCAGGCAAACATTTACTCTTCTGCTTTCCTGTTTTGGATGTAAATTGGTACAACCCTTTTTAGAACACTTTGGAGGTTATGTATCTTAAGGCCTTATAAACATACAGGCCCTTCAGCTCTGTTCACCAAATACGTATTGAACCCTTATTCTGTGCCACATACTGGGAACGCAGAGATGAATATTAAGCAGTGTTTACCTTATTTCTACCCTTAAAAAGATTATAATTCAGTAAGGAAGATGGTGAAGAAAAATAGTTATATTAAATAAAATAAATGCTGTATAGGAGAAGCACAGGGAGCTTGTGGGAACACAGTGGAAGGGCCTCTATTTTAAGCAGTTGTGTTCCTGTGGGTTCTTTTATTCCTAGTAACTGATGCTGTGTTCTGTTTCTACAGGCTGTGCTGTCCTCCAAACCCTGCTAAGAAGCTCTTAGGTGAGCCCTTTGTCCTGCAGCAAGCTGTACCTGTGGATTTGTTCCCCCACACCCCACACTGTGAGCTGGTGCTCCTCTTCACTCGATGAGCAGCCTCCTAAAAGACTGCAGGCTATTTGTTTAGGCTGAAGTTTCAGAAACTTTTAGGTTTGGCATATTGCTACATTACAGACCCTGGGAGCATTACAGTGGAAACCAATCTTTGGTTTGTGAATAGGAAGAATGTAATAGGCCTCTGGTCTGAGGTAGATTTTTTTTTTTGAGATGGAGTCTTGCTCTTGCCCAGGCTGGAGTGCAATGGCATGATCTTGGCTCACTGCAACCTCTACCTCCTGGATTCAAGCAATTCTCATGCCTCAGCTTCCCCAGTAGCTAGAATTACAAGCATGTGCCACCATGCCCAGCTAATTTTTGTATTTTTAGAAGAGACGGGGTTTCACCATGCTGGCCAGGCTGGTTCCAAACTCCTGACCTCAAGTAATCCACCTGCCTTGACCTCCAAAAGTGCTGGGATTACAGGCGTGAGCCACTGCACCCAGCTGAGGCAGACTTAACCTTAGTTTTCAGATTCCCTTTCTATCATGCCTGTTTGCTTGGGTTTGACCACTCTCAATTCCTGGATCTGGACTGTTTCTTCCTATTGCTGTCAGCCTTGGCTCTAGTTTATAGTCTTGTGTCCTCCATCTGATTCTGCTTATGGTGTGGTAACAAATGAGCTTTTTTTAGCAGCTGGTAATAATTTTACATTGGGGTCTGTGTATTTGCTCAGAGATGCTACTATTTTTAGCTATTTCTAAGACTTCTGGATTCATAAGATAGTCAAGGATTAAAACCAAAAACAGTCGAGGTTTTTAAAAAGCAGAGTAAGCCATGAAGTGAATACAGGATGACTGAGTGATCATATGAGATTAATTCCTTTGGATTTTCTTGGCTTTAAGGCCTCTCGAATGCTCCTTGAAAATGTAGTTATCCCTGGTGTTGGGCACCTGTAATCCCAGCTACTCAGGAAGCTGAGGCTGGAGAATTGCTTGAACCTGGGAGGCAGAGGTTACAGTGAGCTGAAATCGTGTCACTGCACTCCAGCCTGGGTGACAGAGCGAGACTCCATCTCAAAAAAAAAAAGAAAATGTCATTATCCCTAGGAGCAATAGCACCAATTAACTCACTCATGGAGGAAGAATTGGTTATTGGAGAGACCCTAAGGGAAAGGAGCTTTTCAAAGAGACTCAATACCTATAATTGTGCTGTGTAGTGTGGAGGCAGAAAGCTCCAAAATCTAATATGTAGCATAATAAAGTGGATATTGAAAACTGACTCTATATTTAACATTCTCTGGTCTGTGATTTCATCAACCCTGGAGTAGTTCTTGGGTACTTGCCCACCAATTTAGATTATGTTTTAGTACTCTAAAGGCCTATGGATGTGTAACTTAGTAAAAGCGTTGTTAGCTGGTATTTTTAATTCTTCTTAATCAAACACTTTAGAGAAGCCTCCTTCTTAGAAAAATATGGCTGTTAAAGCTACTATATAATGTTTTCTATTCTTTTATCAGATAGTGGGTCAGGTACAGCCACAAGAGGAGACACAGGAGAGGCTTTAAGTCTATTATGCTCACACGTCCTAGCAACAGGAGACACAGCATGCCACATAGGGCTACATGGGAAAGACACCAGGGTGGGCAGGAGGCAGAAGACAGAAGAGGGGAAAGTTTAGGCCACTGCCTTTACTTCAGTTTCCTTGGGAAAGGCAATGCAGTGCAGAGTGAACAGTTTAGGATTGGCTATTTTGAATAAGGTTCAGGGGTGCTCCCTAGTTGTCTGGTACTTGGCCATGGGGTGATTAGGACACTGGAATGTTGTCTCTTGGGGTACCCATGCCAGATAGAGGGGATATAGCTCTGAATTTGTATATCAAAGACATCTTCCAGCTGAACCCTTGCTGTCTATAAGAATTATCTAACCCAAGGAGGGGCAGCCAGAGAGATTTTTTGAGATGGAGTCTCGCTCTGTCATCTAGGGTGGAGTACAGTGGCGTGATCCCAGCTCACTGCAACCTCTGCCTCCTGGGTTCAAGCGATTCCTCTGCCTTAGCCTCCTGAGTAGCTGGGATTACAGGCGCCTGCCACCATGCCCAGCTAATTTTTGTATTTTTAGTAGAAACGGGGTTTTACCGTGTTGGCCAAACTGGTCTTGAACCCCTGACCTCAGGTGATCCACCCACCTTGGCCTCCCAAAGTGTTGGTTTATGGTAGTCACATAAATTTTTTTCATTTCCTTATTTTTAAATTTTATATGATGGGGTTATATTATTTTTATAACTGAAATTTTCAAAAAAGCAATTATTTTTCCATTTATTCCCTATATCAGCAAAGGGCAATACCATCTATATCAATCACTTAGGCCAGAAACCAGAGAGTTCCTTTTCATTCCTGTATCCAACTACCTACAAGGTAACTTCCTCTTAGATACCTTCTAGATACTTCAAACTCAATATATCTAATGTTGAATGCTTTTCATCTTTTCCTTAAACATGTTCTTCCTCCTCTATTCTGAGTCCTAATAAATTTAGCAGTTTACTCAGTCACCCAAGCCAGAGCCTGGGAATGATTTCTGAGTCCTTCTGTACTATTGCCCCCATCCAATTTTTCACCAAGCTGCCATCCCTGCAGGCTTCCATCATCTCTCTCCAGATTATTGCATCAATAATCATCTTCCTAACTGTTGCTGCTTGTATTCACTCTTTCTCCCCTTCATTCCAGCACCATGGCTCACACCTGAAATCCCAGCTACTGGGGAGGCTGAGGCTGGAGGATTGCTTGAGCCTAGGAGTTCAAGACCAGCCTGGACAATATAGCAAGACCCTATCTCTTAAGAAAAAATGCAAATCTCGAGGGAGCCGCAGTGGGTCAGGCCAGTTGTCTTAGCACATGAGGAGGCAAGTCGGGCGTTCAAGGCCAGCCTGGGCAATGTATAACCCTCTCATCTATTAAAAAAATGGTCAGGCATGGTGGCTCACACCTGTAATCCCAACACTTTAGGAGGCCGAGGCAGGGGGATCACCTGAGGTTGGGAATTTGAGACCAGCCTGATCAACATGGAGAAACCCCATCTCTACAAAAAAAAAAAAATACAAAATTAGCCAGGTGTGGTGGTGCATGCCTGTTGTCCCAGCTACTCGGGAGGCTGAGGCAGGAGAATTGCTTGAACCCGGGAGGTAGAGGTTGCTGTGAGCTGAGATCATGCCACTGCACTCCAGCCTGAGCAGCAAGAGTAAAACTCTGTCTCAAAAAAAAGAATAGCAAATTTCATGTTTCTCCATTACTTAAAATCTGTCGTTGGTTTCCTGTTGTTTTATTTTATTTAATTTATTTTTATTTTTTTGAGATAGGGCCTCACTCTGTCACCCAGGCTGGAGTGCAGTGGTGCAATCTCAGCTTACGGCAACATCTGCCTCCTGGGTTCAAGCAATTCTCGTGCCTCAGCCTCCCGAGTAGCTGAAATAACAGATGCATGCCACCATGCCTGGCTTACTTTTTTGGTATTTTTAGTCGGGACAGGGTTTCACTGTGTTGACCAGGCTGGTCTCAAACTGCTGACCTCAAATGATCTGCCCACCTTGGCCTCCCAAAGTGCTGAGATTACAGGCATGAGCCACCGCACCTGGCCAACTTTTTATTGCTTTTAAAATAAAGTCCAATTGTTGATGAAGCTCAAGAGCCACTTCATAATCCGACAAACTCCATTTCTCTAGATACATTGAATTCTTTCCCTGAAAAGGAGAAAGTTCTTCCATTCTGGTCCTTTTCACATTCTGTTTCCCCAGCTTGGAATGCTCCTTTCCCTACCTCTTTGGCTTAACTCTACTCACCTGTTTTTAACTTAGATATTCCTCCCTCAAGGAATATTTTTTCTTTTTTTGAGATGGAGTCTTGCTCTTGTTGCCCAGGCTGGGGTGCAGTGGCGCAATCTTGGCCCACTGCAACCTCCACCTCCTGGGTTCAAGTGATTTTCCTGAAGTAGCCTCCTGAGTAGCTGGGATCACAGGTGCATGCCACGACACCCGGCTAATTTTTGTATTTTTTTTTTAGTAGAGACAGGGTTTCATCATATTGGTCAGGCTGGTCTCCAACTCCTGACCTCAGGTGATCTACCCGCCTTGGCCTCCCAAAGTGTTGGGATTACATGCGTTAGCCACTGTGCCCAGCCCCTCAAGGAATATTTAATGAATAAATATAGGATCGGCTATGGAAATCAACTTCCTGATAATTTTATTACTTGTTTTTAGTTATACCCTCAGAGATATTGTGGGATTGGTTCCAGATTGCCACAACAAAGTGAATATCTCAAAGCAAGTAACATAAATTTTATGGTTTCCCAGTCATATAAATATTGCTTATACTATAGTCTATTAAGCGTGCAATGGCATTACATATAAAAAACCAGTGTATGTACCTTAATTAACATGTACTTTATTGCTTTTAAAATGCTAAAAATCATCTGAGTCTTCAGTGAGTCATAATTCTTTGTTTTGATATAGGGTCTTGCTTTGTTGCCCAGGCTGTAGTGCAGTATCATGATCATGGCTCACTGCTACCTTGATCTTCTGGGCTCAAGGGATCCTTCTATCTCAGCCTTCCAAGTAGCTGAGACTATACATGTGTGCCACCATGCCTGGCTATTTTTAATTTTTTTGTAGTGATGAGATCTCACTGTCTTGCCCAGGCTGGTCTCAAACTTCTGGGCTCAAGCGATCCTCCCACCTTGGCCTCCCAAAGTGCTGAGATTCTAGGCATAAGCCACCGCACCCAGTTGACTCTTCATCTTTAGATACCTCATCTATCTGTATAAGGTATACAGACACATGTATACAGACACATCTATCTTCTAAGCGTAAGGATTTTTTTGTTTGTTTGAGACAAGGTCTCCCTCTGTCGCCAGGACCCAGGCTGGAATGCAGTGGTGAGACCTTGGCTCACTGCAACCTCCACCTCCCGGGTTCAAGCAATTCTCCTGCCTCAGCCTCCCGAGTAGCTGGGACTACAGGCGTGTGCCACCATACCCAGCTAATTTTTGTATTTTTGGTAGAGACGGGGTTTCACCGTGTTGGCCAGGATGGTCTCGATCTCTTGACCTCATGATCCACCCGCCTTGGCCTCCCAGAGTGCTGGGATTACGGGCGCAAGCCACCGCGCCCAACCAAGGACATTTTTTTACATAACCATAATATGAGTTCAACTAAGAAAATTAGCAGTACCTCACTAATCTTCACTAATGCCATCTAATATATAGTCCACTGCTTCTTGAAGTGTGGTCTGGAGACTGCCTGATGGTTCACAAGCAGATAAAGAGTTTATACCAGTGTATATCATAGTACCACATTCTTTTTTTTTTTTTTTTTTTT